TATATATATAGAAAAAATTCCAGTGAAAGAGCGTATTAACAGGTGCATGCACCTCTAACACGACATGTTTTCCAAATGCACAAAACCCAACAGCAAATACATAAATATATAAGTCAAAAAGAAAAAAGTTACACAGTTCTACATAAATGACAAACATTTTGTGACCCAGGTGCATGTGCTGGCTAGGTCAAACTCGTTGACATACAGAAGCTCATAGATACGTGTAAGGCTAGCTTAAAACCAGATATTGTGGAGTTGGAAGATATGGGATGAGTGAGTTGGTTCCACATGGGAACAATTCGATTAATAAATTAAAATCTTCAATTTCTTTCTGTAAAGAATAATCAATCATTTTTTTGAAACGTTAAAAATGTTTATAAAATTTAGAGAGAGCTAAAAGCTTGGATAATGGAAGACCTAAACATAAAATTGCAATTGTTAAAGCAAAATATCATATTGGGAGTGATTGAAAATAACAACAATAGTGTTAATATTATTATTGTATTAGTGAAAGCAATTAAATAATGAAAGTAGCAAAACCGGTGAGTCCTACCTAATATAATTATGATATTACTCGATATTATTTTTATTCATGTAAAAGGGAAAAATATATCATTCTGGACTTCATTACATTTGATTTTTCAGAACTATAATTAAAAAATACAGTATTATACTGTACTTTAAAGTACTGTACTTCTTTAGAACCAAAGCATAATAAGACTTACTTTAATCATGTGGGAATGTGGTGTTAAACTATTTTTATTTTATGTATTATGTTATGATGAGCAAAATATTTTTTTAAAATGGAGATAAAAAACATTTTTTTAAAATGTGAAATTTAAAGATGTACAAAAAAGTTTCTTACTATTTGCAGCATTGTCGGTTGATGTTTTCTTATCATCTACAAGATTAAGCCCACTTGCTTGCAAAACTTTGGACAATGTATTTCTGACAAGGGTGAATGCCACTTCATGAATGATGTTATCTGCTGGACATCTGACTGGCTTGGTGATAGAAAGCTCAGCATCAGAAATAGTGGCTTCTACTACTTTAAACTCGCTGGAACTCTTTAGCTTAACTTCTTCAAATGAATCGGTGACACCAATTTTGACATCATCATTTGGTAGGTTATCTGTCGCAATAACTGAGGTGTCTTGAGTGACCTCAACTGGGGTGAAAGCTTTGGTTGTTTCAATTTTGACATCACCTTCCGGTTGGATCTCTGTCTTAATTACTGGAGTATATTTGTTTACCTCAACTGGAGTGATGGTATCAACTTGTATAGATTGATCAATTGTATTTTTTTCCTTTTTCTTAGAAGTAAAATCCCCAGAAATGGCCTCCACAGGGACAAAAAGTTTATTGGTTTTTTGACCTAATCCGATAGTAACTACATTATTACAAGGCTCTGGTAATGAATCACATTTCGCAGCTTCAAGAGATGCACGTCGCTGCTGTGCACATATTATGCAATTTTTTTTTGACTTTTTGGCAGAGGTGCTTCTCTGCTTAAGCTCTTTATGACTTGATCTTGCACACTTCTTATCCTCTCTGGAACCGGTAGGATGAGCACCTGCGGGAATGCAAAGAAATGGTAGTCGTTGGTTAAAAATATACTTATAATCTATGCGCAAAACATATCGTATCAAATAAATTTCTACTGATGCAGATTACAACCATTTTGATTTCATCCTACTACTCCGCCTATGTAGCCTCTTGTTGCATTTGTTGCATATATGTTACTCGTGTTATTCATGATTTAATATTTATTTAATATATAGTTATTTTCCTTTTATTTATTTGTTTTTATACTGGGTTTCCTCTTCAGTAACAAATTACTGTTCTCCCAGAGGGCACAGTACACATAAAACATTTTTTCAATTCAAAGAATTTACAAATCATTTAAAAGGCCATTCATAAATAAAATTTAAGCCATCACCACAACAACCATCAAATTCACAAGTGAAATCATTTAATATTTAACATACGTATATATTAAATAAATAACAAAAATCATAAATAACACATTTAATTGTTTATTATATTTTTACAAAAAAAATGGTTTACTATTTAAAAATAACTGGATTATCAGTTACAAAACCAGATGAAACTATTTGATCATATATTTTTATAGTCACACTATTATAATGTTGAGTTTCCTCTTATTAATTTTTTTATTTCCGTCTTACAGCCTCTTTGTTTTTACACTAACTTTTTTTGCTTATATTGTACTTCAATGACGGACGTGTTTCTGAATAGCTCTGTAAACTAAAGGTCCCTAGGCCAGTTCCTACCGGTTCTATCTACATAGCATAGGGATACCACACCTACAGGGATCAATTGAAATCTCCTACCACTACATGGAGCCAAATACCACACTTACAGTATAAAAGTGTAAAGAAGCTTTCAGATATTTCACTCATTTTATACGTTTTTCTTTAAATTGTTGATGTATTTCTTTCCTGCCCTTTGGTGTTAGTGAATTTTTTTGCTTTATTTATTTGCTCTGGATTTTAAAAACTTTTTTCCCTATTCGAAACTTGCTGATTGTACAATGGCAGGAATTCAAAACGAAGTATTTGTTATAATGGCATTTTACTTAATGTGCGCATTTTTTTTTATGTGCGCATTTTTTACCACAAAAATTTGGACCTAGATTTAATTCTCAAAGATGCAATTTTTCGCCATCGTCAATTTACCTGGACAAATCTACTTCGAATGAACACACAAATAATATGGGTGAGTTATCATCATATTCGTTCTGTGCAACCAAGAAATATTCGGATAAACAAGGCAATTTTCACTCTAATTTGTACAACCTTTTAGGAAAAATGTTGTTATTGTGTATGCTTAGATGCGGAGATATTGATACTAACCCTGGACAGCAACCACAAATCGAAACCTATTGTGATCCATATACGAAACTTACTAACAAAGGATTGACAATGTTGCGTCTAAATAATTGCCCACTGCTTTCGAAGATATCGCAAGATCGTATATTAGCAAATAAAACATAAGTTTGGTGATTTGAATAACGGAATCATGGTTAGATTTATCTGTCTTGAATGTCGAAATCGAGATTAGAGGATTCAAGATTATTCGACGGGACAGAAATAGATCCAGGGAGGTGTTTTGTATCTTCATTCGTAATGACATTGCCCATAAAATTCACGACAATATGGATTGTGCAAACATAGAAGCTTTATGGTGCAATATCTTTTTGCCTAAAACTAGACCAATTTTGCTGGGAACTGAAATTGTATTTAAATCAAATAACTGCAACTTACTATAATTAACGTTGAGTGACGTTTCGTCCAGCTCTGCTGAACTTTTTCAGTCAGGTGGCAAGGAATGCTCCGCAGTACTAGGTCCCAAGTCCTGGATAGTTGAAAACGGAGTCCTCCTTTTCGGTTCAAACTAGGGTTCTCTACCCTCTCCCAGATCGCTTCCTTAACCCCTCTTTCGAACCAATTATCCTCTTTATCTAGGATAAGAACGTCTGGTTTAGATGTGTGTCCAGAAGTTTTGAGGTATTGGAAGACTGCCGATCCCTGTGCTTCACTTGCACTAGGTCTGCGATGTTTGGTTGACTCTGGCTCGTAAAGCTTGCTGTGTCTCCCCTATATATGTTTCGCTGCAACCTGGCGATGAGCACTTATCCCATAGACAACATGTGAAGTTTTCTCTTTTGGTGTTCTGTCTTTTACTTTTACTTTTCCCTCAGAGGGTATTCCGTAGTGATTTCTTGATTTTCTTTATCCCTCTAAATATGGGAGTGTGACTCTAGCCTTAATGTTTTTAGTGGAGGTTTGGCATTTCTTTTCAGGGTTATGTCCATATTAGCCTTTTGAAATGCCCACAAAGGATAACCGCAATTTTTTTTAAGGCGTTTGTTATGTGCAGTTTCTCAGAAGCTATCTCTTCTGGGTCAGAAATAACTGTATCTGCTCTGTATTAGTGTGGTGATAATTCCTATCCTGTGTATAAGAGGGTGGTGTGAGTCAAACTGCAAGTGGTGATTGGTGTGGGGAGGCTTCCTGTACACCTTCAAACTTAATGTTCCCGTTTCTTTTACGGTGATAAACGTATAAAGAAAAGCAAGCTTGCCATCAGCTGATTTATCTTGAGTAAACTTGATATTTCCGTCTAAATTGTTTATTAAATTGAAGAAAGATGCATCTTCGTTCTTTTCAAGGATAACAAACGTATCATCTACGTATCATAACCATAACCGTGGAGGTGATCCCTGATAGGTTTCAAAGATACGCTGTTCGAAATTACTGCGCAGCATTCCTCGCCACCTGACTCGTGATCAATCCAACGGGTCAGTTGTCTGAAGAAGTTCAACGGAGCTGGACGAAGTAAGTTCCAGTTTTTTAAAATTTAAATACAATTTCAACTTAACCCCTACTGGATGAATAACAATTTTCACAGTTCGCTGGGAACTATTTATCGACCTCCATTGCAAAGTTACGCTTTCTTTTTTCGAAATCTTCAGCAGGATTATGATGAGGAGTTGGTCATCCTTGGGGATTTCAATATTGACATGAACAAAAATGATAGCATGGTACAATTTTAACTTTGAATATAGTGGCACCATATAAAAATATCTGAATTAAAAAAAGAACTGAAGGTTGGATGACTCACGAAACCTTAAGTAAAATAGGGGAACACGAAAGCTTATTATCTAAACTAAACAAGCAACAGTAGAAAGATCCTGAACTTTATAAGTTATCGTACCTGACGAATAACATTCAGAGAGACATTAAAAAAGCCAAAGCTGACCTTTTATCGTATAAACTGGAGAAAAATGTATCCAACCCCAAACTATTTTGGAAGCACTTAAGAAACCTGGGTTATTCTGGAAAAACCCAACAACGTTATAGTCAGGGCAATCTAAGATTTTGAGTGAAAAAATTGCAACAAAAGGTTTTCTTAGCTGATATGATAGTTAAATATCTATACAACAACATAATAAAAATCGGGAAATGACTTTTTTAAGACAGAAAACAGCGAACTATATTTTGTCTTTCCTTACACTGTGTGTTAAACGGTTTGGCTAATTAGCATATGAAATTCATATATCTGATTGGTAGAAAGTCCGGTCATCCATGATCAAGTTCAAATTACGTAATCTTGTTTACGTTTTCACGCGTTGACTTCCTGGTACGTGTACCCACGGCGCGGCACATGGGGAGTGTACCTGGCCTACATTTCATATACTTTTAGTTTGTTATTGTTTACGCATTGGATTTTTTCCTGAATATATCAAGGAAGATGGCCGGATCATCTGATAGCATAAAAATATGTTTTTGATGAGGAAGAATTCTCTAAATTCGTGACAGGCCTAGAGAGGCCTAACATTCAACTAGGGCCTAGTTATTACTGGCAAAATCCATCAGCAATATTTATTAGCAATCCATCTGATTTCTTTGAAAGAAACAATAACTAAGGTACCATCATCCTACAATAATAAAATTGATTCCTATGGATTATCAATGTCCTGCATCACATCTCCAAGATATGTCCTAGAAGGAAAAAAATGTGTGGAAAATCCCTGATATATCATTCTGGACATACGCATGGACATGCATGGGCAGTTTTAAGCAGCCTATGATGATACGATCGTAGCTTTTACAAAAGTGATATTTCCCATGCCAAAGTTAACAATAACACGAACGCTAAAACGAAATTTATTCAGCGATTTTCTTATGTAAAACATATGTATTATACTACACTATTAAATTAATACAAGTACAGTGCGACCATTCTTTCACAAGCAATATATTGTTTTAATAGAGAAATTAACAAAATCACAATCTGTACAGTGTAGATGACGATGTAAGGTCGAGCGTTCGGAAAAATCGTAGTTTATACTACAGTATATAGGCCTATGTAGTAAAACATTGCCGAGGCTGCAGACCTCGGAAAATTTAAGGTCGGCAAATTTTTGCCGACCTAATTTTTTCCTAATTTCATGGGCTGAATATGTATAAAATATTCCTATTAAATGTTCAGTATTTGTTTAGTTTATGAGGGTCCATTGATTCAAGAAATTCCAAGTCCATACGAATAATTAACCATGAATTTGAAGTAACTTTCTTTGGGTTCTAATTAACTTTGTTCTATGAAAGTAATTTTTAATTACAATTCAACTTTCATCGCAGATCTATCAGACCTAAATACCCCAATAAACCTATCAATGGATCTAAATGAAAATTTCCATAATAGTTTGTCATGATCCAAATGAGAAATTATTGAAACTTAATAAACAAATAATAATAATAATAATAATAATAATAATAATAATAATATGTCAGGCCTCTTTCCGTTTGTCAGGCCTCACCTTGAATACAGAGTTGCTGCATGGAACCTACACAAAGTCAAACACATCGTTGCTATTGAAATGGTTCAGAGAAGAGCAGCAAGGTTTGTAACCAGTGACTACTCAGAATTTTAGCAGTGTCAGCGTGCTATCAATATTAAGCTGGGATATACTCAAATACAGGCGTGAGGTCCATCGAGTAACGCAACTTTTCAAAATTATCAATCAAGATTTTACCATACATACCA